AATAACGCATCCTCCCAAAGGTGCAACTCCTATCAACCGTAACAATGTAACGGTAACATCCCCCCATTAGCATGAACAGCTATTTGTCAGCTGTCACATGTTAATAAACGGTAGCAGGAAATGTGTACACCGCAAAGTGACACGCTTCCTTTTGGAATACTACGATGCAATGTCTTTGAGTAGGCTGAATGTTCAACCGAAAATTACGAGAGGTGAATAGTGGCAAAACCCAAATAAATCCACTCCTCTTCATAATTCTCACTGCGCGTTGAACCACGGCCCGACATCGACTTGCGCGAAGGAAAACCCGGTCTCCGGGACAAACCCTTCGCTCCCCATCCCGAGAGCCCTAGAATTTAGACTTAACAACCGAAAACACCAAGTGACACTCGAACGTAAAATACTCTTAAGAAAAAACCGTCCCTCGCTTGGTGAATTCACTGTAGTTGCAGTCCGGCTCTCAACACCTACAGCGCGGGAAAAACCTAGCCACCCAGGAAAAATCCATTGCGCAAAGCACCTACAACACCAAACCCAATCAAATGCCACGGCACAACAGCACAAACCCTCTTGGGTGCTACCGGGCACAGGACCACCATTCGACTGCAAACCAGACTAGCACACAAACCAAACCCTCGTGGGTGCTACCGGACGCAGGACCCACCCTTCGACTGCGAATCAGATCAGGACATCTGGCTAGTACGGTCTCCGAGCAGTTAAGCTTTACCGAACCTCAACTGGGTGGTGCACTCAAAAATCAAATTGACATGCAGAAAAACCGAAACAAAAGACTCTTATCAACAATATTCAAAACTCAAGTGGACATGCATAGTCTAAAACCCGGAAAAGAGGCTCTTATCAACAATAGTCAAAAACTATCCATGGTACATACATACGACCGAGTCTTGTACGGACATCCATGATCACCCGCAGACGGTATCACTAACCCCACGCATCCCCAGCAATCACACTAGCTCGAAATCCCTCCCCCCAAGGCTATCTCGAAGATCTCTCTACCGATCCTTGGCCTCGAGGGTGATCAGCAGCACCAAACACGATTTTTGCCCGCAACCATCTGCACAAGTGCTTCACCAGTTCTGCACCAAACTCTGGNACTCGAAGGGTGTCATATTAGATGGGAGCGAGGTGTCTGGCAAGGTGCGTTTGATCCACATCGCAGGCGAAACATACTCATCCCATCGGTCAGGCCAGGGCCTACACCGCTCAGCCAACAACTCCTGTAGCCATTCCCCCATTCTCTCTACCGATCCTTGGCCTCGAGGGTGATCAGCAGCACCAAACACGATTTTTGCCCGCAACCATCTGCACAAGTGCTTCACCAGTTCTGCACCAAACTCTGGGCCTTCGTCGCAGCGCACCGTCTTTGGAACTCTGTAAGTTAGACACAGCTCTACCACCACTCGGGCTACGCCTACAGCTTGATTGGTTTCGAGCGGGAACCCGAAGGGAAACTTTGAGGCGCGGTTCACCACGAGCAAGATGTGGNAGTTTGCCATGGTGTGTCGATCTTGAGGATGTCCAAATGCAACTCGTCCAACGGCTCGAGCGGTCTACCTGCCATCATGGCTACTCGTCTGCTGGGCGGTCTCTTGCGTCTACAACAGGCGCGTGACAACACATCGTGTCGAGTGTCGTTCGTCATCGTGGGCCAGTGGAAATGATCGATCATGGCGACTGGCAGTTTCGTTCCTTCCCATCGTTGTACCGAATCACCTCATCCGCGCCTAGGCTATACCTGTCGCGCTCACTTCCCGCCTGGCTAGAGTCAACTACATTGCTCAGAACCTTGCGAACCCGACTCAGATGGGTGTCGTCTCGTTGCCAATGCGCTAGCTCGGACGACCTTGTGAGTACTCGTGCTGTCAGATCGATGGCTGATGCTCCATCCGACGCGTGGCTCGACGACGACGTCGGAACCTCCCCCCGTGCAGCCAGCACCTCACCGATGTCGTCGTGGCCAGGTCGAACGGGAGACGGCGATAGTGTCAATGGCGACGGCACCGGAGCGGAGGGTTCCACCGCGGAGGGGCCGATGACCTCTCTGTCCGGGAGGGCCTCCAGTACACTTGTCGGGGGCAGCTGCGCGTCGCCGATCTTTCGTAATCGTACCGAAGGGGTACGGGTCCGGCCGCTGCGGCGGGGGGCATCAGGCTTACGGTCAACAGCAGCACACGCAGCGAAAGGCAACGCTCGAAGGGCGGACAGGTGGAAGTCGGCCACTTCCGGGGTGTGGTGAGAGGTGCGGGGGTCAGCATTGCCTACGTGGTCTACCTGCACAGGGTCCAACTCAGCCAGCCTTACACCCTCTGGTCCTGAGATCTCTACCGCAGGCCTGTAGCAAACGACAGATCATCCGGAAACGAATCGTCGACGTCGACTTCTACCGGGTTCGCCACGGGCAGCCGGGACAAAGCATCGGGCACTACGTGCTCTACCCCCGCCTTCCATTCCAGCGCCAGGTCGTACTCCATCAGCCGCAGCGCCCACCTGTGCAGCTTGGGGCAGAGTTCACGGCTTCGGAACAACCATGTGAGGGCAGAACAGTCTGTCACCAGTTTGAACCGTCTACCCGCTAGTTACGGCCGGAATTGGTCTACCGCCCAGAGGACCCCCATGCATTCTCGTTCCGTGGGCCCGCGTCTAGCATCGGTTTGTGAAAACCGGTGGCTCGCGAACACCACCGCGCTGGTGACACCATCGGTTGTCTGCATGAGCGAAGCTCCTACACCCAGCGTGCTAGCATCCGTGTGCAGTTCGAACGAACGCTCAAGGTCAGGGAAAGCTAGGACCTTCGGGGAAGCCAACGTTTCTCAAATACTGGAAGGCGTCTTCCGCAGCTGCGGACCACGGGATAGGAAGCTTGCGTGCACGTTTCGAAGAGAAGGCTTTGTTGCGCAGGATGTTGGTGAGCGGAGAGCGGCAGTCAAACTGTAGTTGGGTACAAACTGAGCAAGTAGCCGGTGAGACCCAAAAAGGTGCGCAGCTCCTCTACTGTGTGTGGCCGAGGAATGCGTGTGATTGCATCTAGCTTGGACTGAGCAGGGTAAAGGCCCGTGCTGTCGGTGATCATGCCGAAGAACTCCTGCGATGCTGCGCCGAAAATGCACTTCGCGAAGTTTACGGACAGCCCCGCAGCCAGAAGGCGGTTCCGAACGAGCGTCAAAGTGGCGAGATATTCTTCCCATGTGTCGCTAGCGATGAGAATGTCGTCAAGCCAGCTAAACACGCCCGATAGATGCACCAAAGCCGACTGTACAAGTGAAGGCCGCCGGAAGCACCGTAAGGCCGAAACCCGCAAAGCACACCATCCGCATGTCGAAAGGCCGTCTTGTAACGGCCTTTCTCGGCGATTTCCATCTGGTGAAAACGGGAGGCGAGGTCTAGCCGAGTGAAATACTTCTTGCTCTTCAACCCGTCGAATATCGTCTGCATGTCACCCAAATCCCCACTATCCGAGACCAAGAGTTTGTTGAGTTCACGCCAGTCGATGCACAGTCGCAACGTACCATCCTTCTTAACGCGCAAGCACTGGGCAGCCCACGGAGACATGGATTGACGGATCATTCCTCGGGTCTACCAACTGCTGAATCTCTGACCTGATCATGCGTCGTTCTTCCGGAGAGAAACGCCGTTGCTTGGCTGCGAAAGGTGTGCAAAACTCGTTGATCAGAGGAAGCTCAAGCTCACCGTTGATGCAAGCCGGCACTCGCTTTTTGGTCGATCGGAAACAGGCCGTTTTCGATTAACGCTGCGAGGACGTTGACGAGTTGCTGCTTCTCGAACGACCCCAGCGTCCCCAGGTTGGCTTCCTCTACGCGAACACGCGGGATAGATTCCCCACAGCCGCAGCTTCCACCGCGCGAGTGGTGAAACCCTCGATGTCGATGGTCTCCGAAACTTGTCGCACGTCCCACTCGAAGGAGGTGTCGTCCTCCCACACCACGTCCTCGTAGCTGGGCACGTCTGTGGGAACGGCGGGCACTGCGGGGGCGTTCTCGGGGGTAGCCGTGAGTAGACTGAACTGGTCCCGAGCGTTGCGGAGGGGGCTTGCAGCCTGGGAGGCGTATGGTGCAATCGACAGAAAAGGCACCCCGGGTGCTGCTGGTACAGGCCTGAAGCCTCTGCTGGAGCTGAAATCGAGCACGCTAGCATTCCGGCTAAGGAAGTCTGCTCCCACAATGAACCCGTTTGGCAGCCCGTCTACCACGCGTACCTCAACGTCTCCTACTCGCGCATCGCCGTCAAACAGCACCGGCAGTGCTGCGGATCCCACAATACGCATCGGAGGGGTATCACTGCTGTCGCGAGGGTTAGCAGCTTCGAGAGCCCCTGCACCTGATCGTGTGGAGAGGACATCGTTGCTAGTGCGAGACAGGCGAAGAAGGAATAGTGTGAGAGTCAATGCAAAAGAACTAGATTCAACGCAAGGTCAGCAAGCACGGGGTAAACAATAATGCGAGCATGCACGACGAGGAAATACAAGGGCACAGCAGTTGCAATGATCGCAAGGGGAAATAGTTATTGAAATAATACAAAAAAAAAAAATGAAAACGTAGAACGAAACACTGGTTCAACTACACAACGGATACCACCTATGCGGCAGCAAGGGGAATGCTTCCGCACAGAAAAAAGCGAGTGTCGCAAGGCGTAAATACTGAATGCAGAAAAGCGACAAAATAATCACGACCCAGTACGGTGCTCCCTGCGCGCTATAGAAACGATAAACTCGAACAACAGCGGTAGTCTAGGTGGGATAGTGCATTCGAATAAAGAGAGGGGTGTCTGTATTATATATGCCGAGCGAGTAGGATTTCGATGCATTTATGAATCTTATATGTTTTCTGCTCGTTCTAGGTCGTATGAGTTTTGTGTATTTATTCTTGGCATTGCTTTAAGGTAATGCATATTAATTTCGTCCTACGATCTTCTTTTGTTAAAGTATGGAATTCTTATCACTTATTTCTTCTTACGTTTTGGCTGCTTGGAAAAAAAAAATCATGGAAGTATTTTTCAGCACAAGCTGGGTCAAAACATTTTCTTCTTGGTTCTGTTGCTTCTATATTTATGTTGTTTGGGTAATCTTTAGTCTATTTTTCATTAGGTACTACAAATTCAGCCTCTGTAGCTCAATTAACCGAAAATATATCTGTTTCTTCAGCTTTATTTATTTTGGGCTAGATGTGGAGGACATGTCGGGAGTATAACCAACCATGAGTGCACATACAAAGTGTAGGAAGATATAGCTCCATCGGGGTATCTTGTCACTGGGAAAGTGACAAGAAACGCACCGGCGGAGATTTGTCTCTTCCGAAGTCCATGGCCACTTGCCGAAAGGAGAAGCAGAGAGTCTTCGACTCTCCTCTCCCTCTGCTCTCTCTGGCCACTCTTTATTTCTACCCTCTTCTCCTCGTTTACATATCACGAGAGGAAATAGCCTTCCCCTGGCAGTGGGATAATACTGCCAAGGCACCGGCCTCTGTCTCCGACAGTAGCCAGGGTCCATATTGGCGTCGACTAATAGAACACGGCTCCGCCGTGACTACTGTAGCGAGGAGAGCAGAAAAAAAAGAAACGACGAGAAAATGACGAAAAGCTCCTCGCAGCGCAAGAAAGAGCTTCGCGAACAAGTCAAGGAGGCGGCAGCACTGGTAGCTGAAAAAGATGCGGCGCTAGCGAACCAGGAGCGGGAGCTCGAGGAGCTGCGGCGAAAGCTCGCCGGTACTGTCCCCCCGTCGCTGTCGACCTCTACCCCACCGGGAAGGGGCACCCCCTCGGAGCGTGTGTCTGTGCAGGGTCCCTCTCGGGGAGATCGGCGCCAACAGGAGCCGATTCCCGAGGAGGCCGCGCCAGCCACCGGCGAGGAGAAAGGTGCTACCCCCGAGGGGACAGAGAACGGGAGCGACGAGGACGACAACGACGGCGACGAAGGGGAATGGGGCAACGAGAGCGAACGGCATGTCATGTACGAGTTGCTCAACGGCTTCCGGTCACAGAACGTGTCCGCGGACGATCGGCACGCGCTCATGACCTCCGCTGGGGGCCAGTTTGCTGACATGCTCTCACGCCACTGGACGGAGAAGTCCACTCCACCCGAGTGGCTGGTGTCCCTCTTCCGCCCCACCGCACCTCCCACCACCACGACTCCGGCTTCTGCAGAGGAAGTGGCTCAGGTGAATACTTCTTCGACAGCACGTAGCAGTATACCAGTTGAGGGAAATCAGAGCAGTGGAGGTAGCACCTCCCCCGACCTAGTTCTCCGTCAACCAATCTTGCCTACTGTCACTCAGAACACACCTGCCCATCCTCGGAACCTAGCCCCTGGTTTAGCATCTACTCCGGATAGCCAGAATAGTGATTACAGGCGTAGCAACCCTGTCGCACCCGAGTCGGCATCTACTCCGGATAGCCAGGACAGCACATACAGGCCTAGCAACCCTGTAGCACTG